CCCCAAAACCCCAAAACCCCAAAACCCCAAAACCCCGAGTCTGAACTTGCATGTTGAAAGTTAAAATAAAAATTCATTCAAATTATATTCTTGTTTCCAGTTATTTATACTCCAGAGGAATTGTTTCTTTTAAAGCGAGTTAAATGTTGAGACTCTCAAGGCCGAGCCATTATTGAGGCATTACTTCCGCTAATGCTTGAACTAGATTTTATTCTTGACTCATGATTGCTCTGATTTTCTTTTCTGTCTTCTTCATTATGGTGTCTTATTTTGTGCTGGACTGATGGTTTCTTTGGAAAAATGTTCTGAGCTTTACTTTTGTTGCTTCTACATTTCCTAATGTAAGATATTATTGACTTTAACAAGAACACAAATGATATCCCTGCACATATCGAAGGAGATGCTGTCAGAATGGATGAGTAATATGCTTCAATAAATGGAGTCCATGCAGCTTCAGTGTTCAGCCAAGTAAGTGGAACTGCCAGACAACAAAACAAACTTTGGTTGACAATCTCAATGATGTTGTCTTGAGGGTTTTCTAATGGTCTCACAACCAGCAAGTACAAACAGTAGGCGATGTTTATCAAGTAGAAATACGTTGTCTTTGTGGTGTGGCCAGCTGATCTTCCGAAAATTAGTAGTGAAATCAACATTAATCTCACTAACATGAATATGCTAGAATACAGCTTTGAGAGCATAGTTGGCTTGACTCCATTAAAGTACTCTGTTCATGGCCAGTACTTCTGAGAGTCAACTTCAGGAAATGACTTCACATACATGATGAATGACAGAATGAACAGCACACTTGTTCACATTGCAAACATGATGCAGAGTCCGAAAGACACCTTAGTCACCCATGTGGACAGGTTCACTGCGTACATTTCAGAGAATATCGACAGTGTTGTAAATGCAAACGCCTGGATGAACACACGGATGTATATGTTGAATGTAAAGAATACAAACAGCTTGTTGAGCCACTTCCTTCATTTGGTGTGTTTACTCTGGCCTACCCACTTGTTTCACATGATGATACAGAAATGGATGAGTGCCAAGAACATAATGAACGCCATCAGTGACAAATAGTTGACTACAGAACTGCCAGACCTCATTCCGATGCTGTTCAGATACTCATCAGACTGAGGGTATGACACCCACTCAGTGATAGCAATGACAAACGGAATGTCTTTGAACTTCAGAAAGTCAAATGACATCATTGAGAACCCCATCCCGCTTAGGAACGCCAGCACTTTCGGAGAGAAATAATCAGGAACCAGAGGGAGTTGAATAGCCAGTTGGAGACTGTTCATGACGCTGAATATGGAGTTGACTGACGACAGAGACAACACAGACGAAGCACTTGCCATCATGACACTGGCTGCTCCCAGAGCTGCAGCAGCTTCGGTTACACCAGTCATAGCTTGAACTTTCGATCAGGATGCCATGTCACTCGAAGCTTCAAAACCAGTTTTGCAGGTCTCTCACAGGTTTGGACTTCCAAGCTGTCAGATCTCTCAGTTGGTGATGCTTCACTGCTCAACAGTGATTTCGAATCGTTTGTAGTGGACTTCGCTGTCAAACGAAATCTGCAACGAGAAATAGTAAGTGGCTGGCTCTGTGAGTTGGGGTGTTTTGTTCAGGTAGAGTTCTTGATTGGCTGTGTCAATCTGGACCCACTCAGGGATCTCATTCGACCCAGTTTGGACCAAGCTGAAGCTGATATCAGTGTAGTTGACTGATTGAGCACAGGCCCAAGTAAACTGGATTTGGACCAGAGAGTTGCTTTGGACATCTTCAACATGGTCTTGGTTCCACAAAGCGACATATGTGGTGAAACTGGGGTTTATTGTTGAAGTAATATCGCTTGCTGAAATTGAAGGAGAAGTCGATATTGTCAGTGTCTTGCTGCTAGAAATGAGAGTTGGGCTAGTTGCAGGTACAGATATCTGATAATCAGAAATGATTGCAGTGAACAGATGAGAGTCTCATTCAAACTCAGATAACTGATCAATATTCTCGTTAAATGATCTTGCAAGATAAAACAGTTCTCCATGTAATTTCCCAGCATGAAACATCACATCTTGATCTTGATAAAATAATCTCCCAACGCCATGAGGAGATGAATTTATATGTTTATATTCTTCCAAAATTGTTACGCTTTCTTTATCTATCAGAATTAATCTTTGACGGTTTGTAAATGACACACTATTAATATGAACTGCTACCAGAGTCTTGAATTCTCTCATTCAGTAGCTAGCGTGATAAATAGAATCCATCAAAAATAAACCATTACTTTGTTGTGAACCATCAGTGAAATTTACCTTGTGAAATATGAAATTCCCATCAAACAAAATCATCGCATATATCCATTCGTCATTCCAATCAATAATTGATGAACTTTTTCTATATGTTCAACTTGGAGTCAGACATGCGATACTCTTCTCCCAGATAAGACTTGAAGGATTAGAAAAATTATAGTTCATCAAGTAGTATTGGTTATTGATTGGATCAACCGTTGCAAAGAATAATTGATTACCTTTAGCAGGTACAAAATTGACGGGTCTGTAAATCCCAAGATTAAATCAGTCGACATTAGTAGATGTAGTATCCCACCTACATGTTTCTATAACCGAACCTAATCTGACACTAAAATACAGATAATCTTTTGCAGTCATATCTCAGAGGGAATTAATCATCTGAGTGTCAATAGCAAATTCTCTGGTAATGACCAGATCACTAGTTCTGATTTCAAAGATCTTCCCAACTGTTATTCCCATTATATAGATAAAATCTCCGTTAGGTTTGATAGTTAAAGCAAAATACTTGCAATAGATATCATAAGAATAAACCTTGAGTTTACTCAGCTTATAGTCAGTCTTATAAATAATAGTTTGATGTGGAGCAGCACCTATCTTGTAATATCCAACATAATAGAGTAAACTCCTCCCATGATCTTCTAAAACGTCGAAAAGGTAAGTTTGTGATGCTCCTGTAATCCCAAAGCTGGCTGCAAGAGGAGACCCAATTTCTTGAGCCTCATTCTTGCACACATTGGCAATAACCAGAGTGATAGTACAGAAAAGGATGATGATTCCTTTCATTTTAAAGTTATTTTTATTAAATCCAATAGTAAAATTCTTTATGGGGTTTTGGGGTTTTGGGGTTTTGGGGAGTT